GAAGCGGAACATATCCACCATCTCGAGGCGGTTCTGGAACGCATACAGCAGTCGGGACTTTGTATAAATGGACCAAAATCCCAGATCGGAAAGACCTGTGTCACCTTACTGGGCCATAAAGTGGGACAGGGCGAACTGAAACCGCTACCTGAGAAGATAATGACGATACAAGGCAGCACAGTTCCCACCTCGAAACGCACTCTCCGTACATTCCTGGGTCGCGCCGGGTACTACAGTAAACTCATCAAGGATTTTAACACCTTGGCCTCACCCTTGTACGAGCTGTTGAAACAAGACAGGAAATTCACTTGGAATGCAGAAGCTCAACGAGCCTTTGATCAGATTCTACAGGAAATGGGAAGGCAGGAGTTGACCCTGAAATTGCCCATTGCTGGTGAGGTGTTCACGGTAGTCACTGACGCCAGCGATGTCGGGATCGGTGCGGTGTTGAAACAAAACCATGGGAGGATTGAGTATGCCTGCCGAACTTTGACGCCTGCGGAACGCATATACTCAACCATAGAGAATGTCTCGCAACTGTCTGGGCGTTGGATAAATGGCGGCCATATCTCCTGGGTCAGCGATTTCATGTCGAAACAGACCACAGACCGTTGGAGTAGATTAAGTCTGCCAAAGACCCCAGAGGGAAGCTGGCGAGATGGGCGTTGCGCCTACAAGAGTATGATTTCACGATAAAACACGTGCCGGGGTGGTAAAATCAGACGGCGGATTTCTTGTCACGCATGATAGATGATGATGACCTGCCGAGCGTAGCTTTCGGTATTAACGGTGTACTGTGCGAGCAGGATCCAGAACAGTTGGCAACTGAGCAACGTAGCGGCAAACTCCTGCGCAAGTTGATTACCGCGCGATTAGCTGGTCAGACAAACTTCAACAAAAACCAACTTAAGCAGCTGAGACCGTTTGCAAAAGACCTGAGAAAACTGCAAGTGAACGAAGCAGGGATCTTAATGTGGATACCAAGAGGTAGCAACCCTTCGATGCCAGTCATTCCAATGAAACGAAGACGGAATCTGGTAGTTTCTTGTCAGGAGATGGCGCATACAGGTTGTTCCAGGACCTACGATCTGCTGAAACAACGCGCGTATTGGCCGGGGATAAAAAGGGACTTTGAGAAGTGCGTACTTTCGTGCAGACAATGTCAGCTCATGAAAACGGATTGCCGAGGAATGCAGCAGCAAACGATGACGATCCCGGTCTCGGAAATTGGTGAACTTTGGTCGGTCGACGTGATGGGGCCGTTTCCATTGACCAGGCGTGGCAACCAGTACATTTTATTGATGACGGAGCACTTCACGCCATGGATTGAGGCGACAGGAATCCCGGATCAACGAGCTAGCACCGTTACCCATGCTGTCATGAATCACTTGGTAGCGGCTCACGGAATCCCAAAGGCCATATTAACAGACAAAGGGCCGTGCTTCGAGAGTGAAGAATTCCGGAACTGTTTGGAGCAACCTGGCATCAAGAAATTGCGCACCACCCCATATCACCCGCAAACAAATGGCCTGACGGAACGTAACAATAGAACGATCAAGGAGTGCCTAGCAGCAAAAGGTGGAGACTGGGAGGAAGCGCTGCCGCTACTGTTGCTGGCCCATCGAGTAACCAAACAGGCTTCCACAAAGAAATCAACATTCCATTTGATGTACGGTCGACAACCTCGTCTACCTGTGGACCTAGAGATTGGAATGTGGCCAACTTGCCGTATATCTCCCGGGGAGACACGGAATAACCGGAAGACCGCCAACCGCAACCTACAGGCGACTCAGGCGCGGATGATGGCGTAGTTCCAGACCAGCAAAGGTGGAAGGAACATCGAGTTTCAGATTGGTTCGAAAGTGAAGTACAGGGACCACCAACGCTATCCCACTTGCGGCCCAGGGGAGAGGAAACTCCTAGCGAAGTGGAAAGGACCGTACGAGGTAGTCGACCGGCGAGGCCCAGTGTATACAATCGCTCGGCAAGGTGAATCGCGGAGGGTGAATGCCGGCGAGCTGAGGAAGTGGTACGAATTGGAGGAGGAAACACACTCGTACAGAGAACATCCCCGGCGGTCAGAAAGACTCCGACGGAAGGCAGCTGACACGAATCCTTTGGAGGGGGAGGAGTGTGGTGGATTAAAGGTAGATACTACTGCGCCGGGTATAAGTAGTGTGGTGGTGCAAGATGACACACCAACAGCGAGCCCTGCCGACTTCCCCAAAGTTGAAGATGACATCAGGATTACAGTTCCATGTGCATGAGGAGTGAACACGGAGGCAAGCACCAGTTGGGGAACACTCCATGGAAATCACGCAGATGAGCGGACGCCTCCAAAGTATGAACGAACACACCTAGTGTAAGCCACTTTAGCAATAAACAAGTTACCACCTGCCCCTTGGGTTCTAACAACATGAGCTACTTGCGCATTCATATCCCCAGAAGTACTGTGGTATCTGATCTGGTAGCGCTACGTAATAGTGTTGAGTTTGTGGTAGGTGACCTTGACAGCATCAGAGCTGCAGTCAGTGGGGGCATAATCGTGAGTCACAAACAAATGGCATCCAATATTACTTCGTGAAACGACCTTAGCTGATGTCGTCAAAGGGGCTGCACACAAATGCCTGCTCACGAAAATCCAATCGACAAACGATGACACAGCCTTGAAGTTGAGAACCATGTCCAACAGCGCTTGCTTAGTGGCTGCCGCATCAGCGTCTCCAGATGCGTGCAACGAGTAGCGAGAGGATAAGCCAGGTGAAGTTGGTTCACCAACCACGTGCTCGTAGTGTCGGATACGCGACACATGGCAATAAACAGGGTGTTCAACAAGTGTGTGAGTACAGTCTGTTGACTGATTTGTCTTAGAGTACTAACGTTGAACGCCGCCAGGGAAACGGGACAGCTTGGCCTTATAAGGGACTGTTGCCGATGGGCGTTTAGTGAGTGATGCGAGAACATCGCTGCAGATGGTATAGCTTCAGTGAGATTGGAGCTGCTGTCAATTAATCCGGGAATTATAGGAGAGTTAGTAATGAGGTCGGGATGGGAGTAATAGAAACAGTTGAAAAAGAGAGGCGCCAGCAGTAGTATGATTCCGCTTATCCGCCCTGCTGTATGGAGTAGATAAGGCGACTCTTGGTAATCTGCACGACGGCCAATTCGAAATGTGGTTGGAGTTGGAGGAAGTATTCATAGTTGCACATGAACTGAGATACTGCAAGCGCGCCCAGACCTAGACAAGATGACGATTAGGGACATCAAGCAAAGCCTTTGGTACAAAAGCGTTACTAAAAAGCAGGGGGGTTGGAAATGATTTAGTTTTACAGAAATGGACGCCATCCCATTTCAAACCCCCAACCAGGAGGACCAGTAGACTGATCTTTTCTGACTACTAACTATTGGTCAACCTGGTAGGAGTACCGCTCAAGGTGCCCAGGAGTACCACTCAGTATAGCTAAATAGGTCAAAGAGATAGGCAAACCATCGAACCATGTTAAGGTCCAGTCTCGAGGCGACGGAGATCAGAGTTTGCAATGCAGCCGTCCGTTCAACCTTCCTGTACGGTTGTAAAACCTGACCCATCAAGTCGATAGACATAAAAAGCTAGGTACGTTCGACCATCGCTACCTTCGCAGTTTAGCTCAGGTTTAGCGCGAACATGGCGTGAGCAATGAGCGTATTCGATGTTACATATTTGGTGCAGAAAGAGCGAGTGAACCGCTCAACACTGTCATATCATGCACTAGGCTCCGATGGTCTGATCATATATCGCGCATGCAAGCACAGCGACCCCCGTGTCGTACGTTTTGTGTGATCGTGATGTGGATGGAAGAAGTGGAGGAGAGACCACGCTATGACTTGATCAAAAGAAATGAAGTTCCTCACTTCGAGTTTACATCGCTTGGTACTCCCCAGCTGCCAGACTGGGGTCTCAAGAATGATGAAGATGTGGCTGGATACACCGGTTGACTTAAGTTCGCTTGTCTCTCCCACTCCTCTTTGGCTATTCCCTCCAATCACGATCTTATTCCCGATGCAGAATATTATATTACTTGTGTATTTTCTGCTGCGGCACAACAACTAGGTTTGAAATAAATGAGAATATGCGTAGCTCGGGGTGTGGATGTAGATTTTGAGCGGAGAACCGCTCAAAATCCGCACAATAGCTAGGTGTTTCTAACCTTTAGCTGACGTGCAATGATGATGACTAATTTGGAAATGTATTCAACACGCCACCGGAGAATAAGAGAAGAGTTAAGTCTCACCGTATTCTAACGGGAAAGATCGGTCTACACATGTTATGCTTATTTTGTACCTGTCCCTGCGGTTACATGTTGAAGCTGAACAAACCACGCTCTGGCGGGGTTAGTACCGAAACTCGTTTGTTACACTGTTATTGGACGCTGAACCTGGCTTTCGGATCCCGTGGTTAGGGAATCTACGGTTGAGGGTAATGAGCGTAAGCTAGAGGCTCTTGGGTGTCAATATAAAACCATCCTATCCTCATAACCGACTTACAGTTGGTTTTATTTTTTCAGTTCCTCTTATGTTTCGGTAATATCATAAGTTAGCTGACAATTGTCCGCTTGCCTTTTGTGTGATACAATTCACTCTTCCTTACTTCACGTAATCGGGCCGGCATTGACTGCTGGGCAGGATTTGTGAGCAGTAACTGGTTGGCTAAGGTGTGATACAGTTTTAGTTTATCAAAAATCGCATTATCAATTCCTGGTTCAACGATATGAGCAGTCGGAATTATCCCATTATTCCGATTCCAGTTGAACTTGAAACGAAGAGCTACGCAGAGTAAAGAACAGTGTCAAACTAAATGGTATCTGGTGAAAAATTTGGACAAGCTGACGCTTTCGATGAAGTATCCTAGTCGCAAATTTCTGAAAAGGTGTGTAATTACGCACTCAGATTGACAGTTTAAAGTGCGAAGTACTTATCAACATATGAACATTCTCCTCAAACATTTCCGTATTGAGACTTGCCTGTGGCCTGTTATATAGTTCTGCCAAATATTTTATCGGGTCCTTTTTGAGTGCACTCATAACATCGCGGAAATGCCCCGACATGTCGTGAGTGTGGAAACAGTAGGAGAGGTGTAGTATGTATCCGGTCGAAGGTTTCGATGGCTTCTGTGTCAAGGGCGTACGTGGATCGTACTTGACGGAGGGGGCTAAAATGCAGAAGAAATACTTTGTAGACGGATGGATAGTATCATCATAATCATCTAGTAAGAGACGAAGCTGAATGTAGGGTGCTCCTGCCTTACACCTCGTGGCGAGTTTGGTACCGATGTCACATCTGTCGGTGGAGAATCGAGCCAGCAGACTACTCTACATGAAGTGCTAGACGGAAGCCAAGCTCCATGGACAAAGTGTTTTCAAAAGCAGGCGGGAAGCAATGAAGAAGAGTTACATATCGTACATCGGATAATGTTTACTTGATGCACTGCACCGCTAGGTTGCGGTCGAACAGTGTATTGATATCCATGCATCGATACGGAAGGAATTACTGTCAGTCATCCGTTAGTAACAAGCCGTGTTGCTGATAATTGGTTTCTGCATGATACTATTATTATAAAGTCGCATAAGATAATAAGCAGGAGCAGACATCGTGGTAAAAGTGGACACGATAACTGATGATGTTGCCAGAGGGCTTAATACGCAAAAACAGAGATCGCTTCTACGGTGACTACAGAAGGTATTGTCGGGAAGGACACAATAATAACTGCAATAAAGGTGCAGTTACTGCTTACATATACCCAGAAAGCTCGACGGTCCATAAACATATGAATGTACCAAGGAGTCCTTAAGTAAACTGTCGTGTAAGGTGACCTTTTGTATTAAGCCGGAATCACTTACTTGTTCAGTTGCTACATAATCAGCGAGTGACGTAATGGAATCCAGACAAAGGACCAAGCGATCCACTATAGTAATTGTGGGGTTGTAGAAAGCAAACTTATGTGCAATCCGACGAAGCCTGGATCGTGCTGTTGTAGTTAGCGAAGCCTGCCAGTAAGTGGTCTTAAGGATCACAAGCCTGCTTTGCAACATCAGATGGAGTATGAACATCATCATCATCATCAACAGCAGTACATCAGCCATTTGAACTGATGCTTCGCTGCCATACAACCATGAGGACCTATGAAATAAAGAATACGGAGAGAAAAGCGGGGCTTACCTGAAAACCTTAATGCCCTAAGCAAACATTCAGGGTCAAGGCGCTTACACCTTGTGTAAACAACATACCGTCACAAACTGCTGGATGTCGTGCAAAGATAAGGCGGCATCGGCGAGACAGCTTCCTTGCGGCTTTCACTGCCACGCGTCATAATCAGCCATTACCCCGCAGATAACTCAGCACCAAACACACTTTAACCAGACAATCCGATTAGGAGACGGCAGCAGACGCGCCACTGGTGTCAACTGCGAGCCGTCCTGTAAAGTCTCGAGCCAAGCACAAGGCGAGTCACGTGGACTCCAGCCCGGAAGACGTGACGGACCAACGGCACCTAGTTTGGTCGTCAGTGACTTCATTTCCCGCTGCCAAGTCAACTTCTGTCCACCTCGAGCCTTGCACCACCCTACACCTGGCAGACTAAACAAGGCCCTCCTAGGTAAGCGGTGACCAGGCATGCGTAGCACGTGCCCGAGCCAACGCAACTTATTCAGTGCTATCTGTTGTTCTAGGGAGCTAGCATGATCATCACCACCTAGTACTCGCCTACGCACATCATCGTTGCGGACACGCTGGTGCCATCCGACACCAGCAATGCTTCGCAAACAACGATGATCAAAGACTTGAAGGCGCCTCAGATCTTCAGACCGAAGGGGCCAAGTTTCACTACCATAGAGCAGAACGGCCCTCACTGTGGCCTTGTATACACGGCCTTTCAGACGGAGGGAAACTCCCTTCTGTCGCCAAAAATGACGCAGGTTCAAGAAGGCAGCTCTGGCCTTTGCAATGCGTGAGCTAACATCAGTTTCTATGCGCCCATCATTGCTGATGCAGCTGCCAAGATAAGTGAATTGATCAACCACATCGAGTTCCTCGTTAGCAAGCGTCAAGGGGTCATCGAGTGGCTGGTGGTCCTGCAGCAACACTTTGCACTTTGAAGGTGCGAAGTGCATACCAAATAATGGGACCACTCTAAACAGGCTATTCAGGGTTGATTGTGCCGCCTCAACATTGTCGAAAAGCAAGACGATATCGTCCGCATAATCTAGATCAACTAACCGTTCACCAGGCAGCACTTCAACACCTACATCGTGAGATTCTGCAAGGGAACACTCCATGATAGAATCCACGACGAAATTGAACAAAAATGGGGAAATCGGGCAACCCTGACGAACGCCACTTGTAGTCGAAAAGCTATCCGATAGGGCACCATAGACCCTGACGCGGCCTCTAGTGTTCGAGTATAGAGCACGAAGGATGTTCACATATTTCGTGGGAACACCTTTCCGCGCAAGTATTTCGAACAGAATCGATCGATCGACTGAATCGAACGCACTCTTGAAATCGAGGAACACAGCTATTGTCGGTCTGCGGTATGCGTGGCGCTGCTCTAGCACCTGCCGCAAAGTAAATATATGGTCTATACAGCCACGTCCTGGGCGAAAACCGGCCTGCTCTTCTCTAATCCGAGATTCCCGTTCTGCAGTGAGGCGAAGAACGATAATCGAGGCCAGTAATTTTGTCACAACTGGCGTTAGGCTAATACCCCTGTGGTTCGCACAGTCTGTGCGACTGCCCTTTTTGTATATTGCCACTATAATCGATTCGCTCCAATTAGCCGGCACACTCTCTTCGTTCCAGATACGTCCGAATAGGGAGGTCAGTGCTTTGCAGAGGACCTCACCACCATCCTTAAATAGTGCAGGTGGTAGGGAATCCGGGCCAGCGGCACGAAAACGATTAAGGGCTGTGATCGCGTTTCGGACTTCGGCCTCCGTCGGAGGCTCTAAACTAACCGTCCATGGCTCGTCCTGCATCACCTGAGTAGGAAGAGGTCCGGGAGCAGGGGGCCAGCTGAACTGATGTTCAAAGTGCTCAGCCCAACGAGCCATACGGCGCTCCTTATTGTGTATCAGCGCACCCGCGCTGTCCCTGATTGTCTCACTGACGCCTGGTTTTCTCGGACCAGTGGTGCGTATTAGCTGTAAGAGTTTGCGGCAATTGCCTACTGCTCCTGACGCCTCCATTTCTTGAGCAGATGCTCCTGCGTCGTGTCACTGTCATTAAGACAGGACAGCGAAGATTCGTTACGCAGTGCGTCTTGATAGGCTGAGACAATTGCTCAGTTGCCGGTCTGGGGAGACGCTTGGTGCATCTCCCGGTAAAGTACATGGAGAAACGACAGCGCACCAAGGCATGATCAGAGTCGACGCAGGTATTCCAGTGCGAGCGGCAATCTTGGATGGAACCAAGCCACCTGTAACGTATGTCAATGTGGTTCAATTTGGGTCCATCGTTGGTCAGCTACAGGAGGACGCCAAGTGGCACTTCGGCGCCCACTGTGTCTAAAAGCAGTGCTACTAAGAAACAACTGGTGCTCCGCACACAGTTGCAGCAGACGTTCACCGTTGTCAGTCCGTTCGAAGTTAAGCCCACAATTACCACCCAGCTGAGCTTCTGAAGAGCTCGGACGCCCTAGTTGTGCGTTCATATCCCCTGCAAATACTACAATATCTGAACTAGTAGCACTGCGTAGTAGCGCGTTCAGTTCATGATAGAATGTGTCCTTGACAGCATTAGAACTGCAGTTGGTGGGAGCATAAGCGGAAATCACAAAAAAGCAGCGTTTTGTACTACTTCGTGGATCAACCTTAGCTGATGTCGTCAAATCGGCTGCACATAAACGGCTGTTCACCGGAATCCAACCAACCAACAACGGCTCAGTCTTGGAGCTTAGAATGATACCTACACCAGTTTGACTCGTGAGTGCTGCCTCGGCGTCTCCATATGCGTGCAACTAATAACGAGAGGAGAAACTAGGTGCAGTTAATTCAACAACTCCATTAGGGTCATTGGTTTTAGTTTCGGACACGCAACGCACATCAATACCCAGTGTGCCCAAGGTGTGTGCGAGTGCGGCCTGTTGCCTTAGAGTGCGAACGTCGAACGCCGCCATGGAAACGGGACAGCGTGGTCTTATAAGGGACTGTTGCCGATAGGCGCCCGATGTGTGTCGCGAGGTGGCTGCAGATGGTTCTACTCCAGTGGCACTTCGGTTGCCGTCAATTAAGCTAGGAATTATATAAGGAAGGTTAGTAATGGGTGTCGAGATGGGGCTAAGAGAAACAGGTGGGAAAGAAAAAAAGAGATGCGCCAGCAGTAACATGTTTTCGTTTATCCGCCCTGCCCTATGCAGCAGATAAGGCGACCCTTGATAATCTGCACGACGGCCGATGCAGGGTGAAGTTAATTTTTGAAGAAAAAGTCATGGTTGTATGTGGGCTGAGATACCACCAGGGTGCCCAGACCTAGACAGGAGGACGATTAGGGTCCTCAATCAAAACCTTTAGCTCGAAAGCCTGTCCGCAAGGCAGCATGGAGGTGGCAATGGCTTAGTTTTACAGAAATGGACGCCATCTCATTGCAAACCCTAAACCAGGATGACCAGGGGACTGAGTTGATCTGACGTCTCACCATTGACCAACCTGGTAGGAGTAGCTCTCAAGGGGCCCGGAGGCAGCACCCAGTATAGCTGATGGGGTCAAGGAGGTACGCAAACCGTCGCCGCAAGTTAACGTCGCGTAGTCTCCTTGTGTAAAGTCACGGAGAGAATTTTTAAAAGGACCTTGAATCGCAACATTGACAATGTGAATATCCTCTCTCCCGCTCAGCATGGCTTCAGGGCACGCTCTTGTGCCTTCAACCTGCTTGTAGCCAGAGAAAAATGGGTTAAATTGTTGGATACCGGCAACCGTATGGACATCGTCGTTGTCAACTTCCGGAAATGATTTGATAAATTTCCGCATGAACGGCTCCTCTTTAAACTTCGGGGTATTGGTGTTTCTGGAGAGATTTATAGTGTCTGT